TCTCTTTCATCCTCACACAGTATGAAACTGGTGATGTGTCTTGGAGGGAGGAAGCCATGGGCTCACTGTTTTTTTCCTAGACTATACTCAGCTTTTAAACTCTACCAATTACTGGCTGATTCCTTTATTGTTTTCAACAATGTTTTGGGGCATAGATTGCTGCCGAATGCTGATCCAATTAAATTTGGGCTCCTTTATAGGGATGGCTTCTTGTTACTGTTATTGTTTCTCCCCCAAGACAAAGTCTTGCTCTGTCACCTAGGCTGGTGTGCAGTGGCGCAATCTCAGCTCACTGCAACATCTGCCTCACCGGTTCAAGCAGCTCTCCTGCTTCAGCCTCCTTAGTAACAGGGATTACAGGTACACACCACCATGTCTGGCTAACTTTTGTATTCTTAGTAGAGACAGGGTTTCACCATGTTGGCCAGACTGGTCTCAAACTCTTGACCTCGTGATCTGGCCGCCTCAGCCTCTCAAAGTGCTGGGATTACAGGTGTGAGCCACTGCGCCCAGCCCAACAGGGATGGTTTTTGAGGTTGTTTGAGATTTATTCTGAACCCAGGGAGGCTGTTTTAGCTGTTTTACTGGTCTTGGTCCTCTTTGGTAACCTAGTTGGCCTGTGGGTTAGCTAATACTACTATCAAATCTATGGGTCTTTCTTTTTTATGACTGTGTAGTAGGAAAAAAGAACAAAGCTATCAGTGTCCTTTTAAATTTTTTTCTCCCTGGTCTCCATTGTTTTTAAGAAAGTCTCTAGTCTTGCACTTCCCGACACTCTTGCCAATGAAGTCAGTTCCTTTGAGAAGAGATTGGGAGTTTACTGATTTGAGGACCTTCTCTCACTCTGGACAGAATTCTCTCTGAGCCATCTGGGGATGGAGACAATGGAGTGCCTCTCTTTGAGTGACTGCCACTTTAGGAGAGATATAGGAGGAGGTACAGTGGGCTGTAGCCTCTGCTTGGTTTGCCTTTCCTGGCATGGGACCACGGTTTTATGAACAAGCCAGAGGTATGTGAGCCCAGAGGAGTCAGAGGCAGGAGAATTGTTTGAACCAGGAGGCAGAGGTTACAGTGAACCGAGATCGCACCAGTGCACTCCAGCCTGGGTGACAGAGCAAGACTCTGCCTCAAAAAAAATAAAAAACAAAAACAAATGCTGAACCAGCAAAATATTCTTAGAATTAATAGAATTTGGTAAGGGGATAGGATTCAAGATAGCATAGAAAAAGTAGTAGTGTTTCTCCATTTTAGTACTAACCAGTTAGAAATTTAAATGGAAAAAAAAAAAAGAGACTTAAATAAACTACACAATGTATAAAATAGCTAAGAATACAGATTTAAGAAGAAAGACTTGAGGGTTGGGCGCGGTGGCTTAAGTCTGTAATCCCAGAACTTTGGGAGGCTGAGGCGGGTGAGGGAAACCTGTCCCTACTAAAAATACAAAAAATTAGCTGGGCGTGGTGGTGGGCACCTGCAATCCCAGCTACTCAGGAAGCTGAGACGGGAGAATCACTGAAACCCAGGAGGCGCAGGTTGCAGTGAGCCAAGATCTTGCCATTGTACTCTAGCCTGGGCAACAAGAGTGAAATTCTGTCTTTAAAAAAAAAAAAAGAAGAAGAAAGAGTTGAGATCTTTAACAACTACAAATACTCCAAGAATATGAAATAAGATCTTAATGAACGGAGGAATATTCTGTATTCTTAAATGGGAGATTTAACAGTAAAAGAAAACAAAAAACAGTTCTCTCCAAATTAATACAGACAGTACATTTCCAGTCAAAATCTAGGTCGGGGAGGGGGACCAAATAAAATGAAGTGAAATTATTTTCAAGTTTTGCATCGTAGAATTCAGTCTAACAATAGTTGAGAGACTTGATTTATATTAAAACTTGCCAGCCATGGTGGCTCACGCCTGTAATCCCAGCACTTTGGGAGGCCGAGGCGGGTGGATCATGAGGTAAAGAATTCAAGACCAGTCTTAACAACATGATGAAACCCCGTCTCTACTAAAAATACAAAAGTTAGCCAGGTGTGGTGGCATGCTCCTGTAGTCCTAGCTACTTGGGAGGCTGAGGCAGGAGAACTGCTTGAACCCAGGAGGCGGAGGCTACAGAGAGCCAAGACCACACCACTGCAGTGCAGCCTGGGCAACAGGGCGGGACTTCGTCTCAAAAAAAAAAAATTAAAACTTACTACAAAGCTACTGCAATTAAAAACCAAAAAAGGTGATACTAACACAGTAATGAAACAGTAGAACCAGAACAGAGATACTAGCAACAGGGCCCAGTATGTTTCAGACTTAGTAATTTGTTAAAGTTGGCATAGATATCTGAAACCTTCGGGCTAGATGCTTCAGAGTTAATTTTTGGGTTTCAGAAAGCCAATATGCAAGGCTGGGCACAGTGGCTGACACCTGTAATCCCAGCACTTTGGGAGGCTGAGGTGGGAGAATTGCTTGAGCCCAATAGCTCCTGACCACCTTGGACAACATAGTTAGACCTCGTCTCTACAAAAAATAAAAAAGTTACCCAAGCATGTGGTAAGTGCCTGTAGTCCCAGCTACTCAAGAGATTAGGGTGGGAAGATCACTTGAGCCCAGGAGTTTGAGGCTGCAGTGAGCTGTGATCACACAACAGCAGTGCAGCCTGGGCAACAGAGTGAGACTCCCATCTCTAAAATAAAATAAAAAGACAGGCAATATGGTATGAACACTAACCTCTCCAACAGGATCTGGGGGAAGTGCCTTGTAGTTGAATTATCAATAATTCTTCACGTGACTTATATGAATGGAATAAATAAAAATGTAATGGCCATTCATATTTAGCCACCAGATGAATGGTGGGGGAAAACTTGTTTTCTAGAGCCTTTGAACTTCCAATTCATAGTTAAGCAACTGTAGACCTATATTCCAATTTGGTAGGTTTGTTTTGTACATTTCTGGAAAAGAAAATTTCGGACCCTCTACCTTGTAACATATACTTAAGTTCATTCCTCATCTGAAAATCTGAAATCCAAAACCTTTTGATTTGTTTGTTTTAAAGAGAGTCTTGCCATGTTGTGCAGGATGTAGTACAGTGGCTGGTCACGGGTGAAATCATTGCACGCTATAGCCTTGAACTCCTGAACTCAAGCGATCCTCCTGCATCAGCCTCATGAGAGTAGTTGAGACTACAGGCATGAGCCACTGTGCCCAGTAAAATCTGACTTTTTTTAGCACAGATATGACAAAGTAAATGGTCATTAGGACATTTCAGATTTTGGGTTTTTGGAGTAGGGATGCTCAACTGGTAAGTATAATGCAGATATTCCAACATCTGAAACACTTCTGGTCATAAGCTCTTTGGATAAAGGATACTCAGTCTGTATCAAATTCCAGAAAATTTCGTTGGGCGTGGTGGCTCACACCTATAATCCTAGCACTTTGGGAGGCTGAGCTGGGTGGAGTGCCTGAGCTCAGGAACTCAAGACCAGCCTGGGAAACATAGGAAAACCCTGTGTCTACTAAAAATACAAAAAAATTAGCTGGGTTTGGTGGCGCAGGCCTGTAGTCCCAGCTACTCAGGAGGGTGAGGCATGTGAATTGCTTAAACCTGGGAGGCAGAGATTGCAGTGACCCGAAATCGTGTCCCTGCACTCCAGCCTGGGTGACAGAGCAAAACTCTGTCTAAAAAATAAATAAATAAAACCAGGATCAGAAAATATTTACAAGATTCTGAACTCTGGGTAGGTGGTCCAGTGTGCATATTGGAACACTCAGTTGCCTGTGGGCAGGGAAATGCCATGGGAGGCAGCAGCATACATTCTTCTTTCATCCACAGCAAAAATACCCAACAATGATAACACCCAGTGCTGATGGGCAGGCAGGAGGACCAGTTCATTGTTTTAACACTGGTGAAAGAAGCATTACTTGCAAATGTTTTGCAGTTAATTGGCCACTATTACTTTGAAACCATACCTGGTTAGAATTAAAAGCACCAGCATGGAAGTATACAAGTTTATTCTGGTGTTGCTGGGTTATTGTGGAGAAAATCTGGAAACGACATAAATTTGCCTCAGTTGGGAGGATTTATGGTATGGTCATCTGGGCATCTAGACCCAGGAGAACAAAGTGTTGGCAAGTGAGAAAGTTGCTGAGGAACGGTCTATAGGAGTATTCTAATTGTGCATCTTTAGTTTGTCATAAGCATGTACGATGTCTGTTAATATTTTCCTCCAGTAGTAGAGAAAAACGTGCTAAGAAAAGAAAATGAAGATGGAGAGAGTAGAAACAGCAAGTGCGAAGGCTTTCTGAATGTATGATTTATTTAACCTCTTCTGCACTAAAGAACGTTTAGGTGTTTTCCCATTTTTCGCCACTACAATCAGTGTGCACGCATGTCTCCAATTCTTAAATTTAGGATTGTTCTGGGAAGGGATTAATGAGAGATTTTTACTTTTCATACATTCTTTCAAATTGCTTTCCAAAAAAATAATGGAAATAGTTGATCCTCCCACCAGCAGAGAAGAGTCTCTAACCTTGCATGACTGGGAAGAATTCTTCATTCTTGGAATTCTGTGGGTTAAAAGGACGCTTCATTAAATGTTCCTGCTTTTACATCCTCCCCGTTGGTCTCAAAGTGCTCCTTGCCTGTTAGCCTAGTTGTCTCCTTGATACGGGTTTTGCACTTTTAGTTCTTAGCTTGTTGATTTGTTCGCTGCTTATAGCTTTTTTGTAAGCAAATCAGAATTCTGTAATACAGCCATAAAAACATACAAAGATCTATAGAGCTATATTTTTAATCACCTATAGTAATTGTGGTGTGGAAGGAGAGGGAATTTGAACAAAGATCAGATAGATCGTGGTTCCCTGCTTGTAGAGTGGCTCTTCGTTGGGAGGGCTGCGCCCCAGGTGTAAGTGCGTGGGTGTGGGGGCAGGAAGGTCCCTCTGAGCTGGCAGGGTGGGGGTGGGGGACTACAGGGCACCTAGAGCAGCCTCTCCAGCCCCTTCTGCCCTGCCTGCAGCTCATGATGGAGCAGTCCAAGAAGTCCTCGCTCATGGTGGCCCGCAGTATCCTCAACAACAAGCTCATCAGCAAGAAGCTAGAGCGCTACCTGAAGGTGAGCCGCTGGTCCCGGGCTGGCCCTGTCCCCAATCCAGTCCCCGCCTGTGCTCCATCCGTTCAGCGTCCGCGCCCCTCCCTGCAGGGCGAGAACCCTTTCACTGACAGCCCCGAGGAGGAGAAGGAGCAGGAGGAGGCTGAGGGTTGCGCCCTGGACGAGGGGTCGCAGAGCGAAGCGGCAGGGATCTCGGAGGGTGCAGAGGGAGCGCCGGCGCAGCCCCCCGTTCCCCCAGAGCCGGCCCCCGGGGCTGCGTCGCCACCACCACCGCCGCCCCCAGAGGAGGAGGAGGAGGAGGAAGGCGCAGTGCCCTTGCTGGGAGGGGCGCTGCAGCGCCAGATCCGCGGCATCCCGGGTCTCGACGTGGAGGACGACGAGGAGGGCGGCGGGGGCGCCCCGTGACCTGAGCTCGGGGCGGGCGGAGCCCGCGGGGCCGAAGCTGGAAACCAAACCTAATAAAGTTTTCCATCCCACTTCCCGCTTTCTCGGTGACTCTGCCGCGCCGGCGGGGCGGGGCGGTGCGGGGAGGGGCGGGGCAGGGCTGGGCTAGAGAAACTATGTGCACATGCGCAGAGGTTGCGCCCTCGGGCACAGCAGCGGCACCGCAGCTCCCGATACGCTGCGGAAGCGGATTCTGAGCAGCCCGAAAGGCTAGATGGGACGGCGGGGGCGGGCCTTGGTGAAGACCTGCCAATGGGAGGGCGCGGAAGTAGTGACGTGCGCGCCTGATCTTCTAGTAGTCAACGGTGGAGGTGCGTTGAACGCATGCGTCCTGTGGCCGCCTAGTTAAAGGGGTTGCTGGTGGGTCGCGCAGAAGCCATGGACCAGGGCTACGGAGGTTTGTTTTGGCCGCTGGGCGCGGAACGGGGAGGAAAAGCGCTGTGCGGGCGGCGCAGACGACCGCGGGCCAGGCCTTCGTCCCGAGCGTGGTTGCCGCAGCCGGGACCTACGGAGAGGAGGTCGGGGCGCGCGCGCGGGCGCGCCGCTCATTGGGTTTTGGCGCCGTCGCTCACGGGGCGCTGCGTGCGGATTGGCCGCCAGGGCCCGAGGAGGCGGGCGGGACTCGGGGTTGAGGTAGAGGCCGCGGTGGGCTTTAAGTAGGGGGTGCCTTGGGCCGTGCGGGCCGTTTCTGCCCCGCAGCTTCCGCGGGGCCCGTCCGGTCCCTAGTGACCCCGGCGTTCGCACTCCCGACTTCCTCTTCCGAAGGCGCCACAAAATGGCCGCGCTAGGGGGCGGAGCCACAGCGTGGGGTCGTGAGGTCCGGCCCGGGGCCCGGGGTCTGGGACCGCCTGCTGACCGCGGGCCCCGCCTTTCTCCAGGCTTGTCCTAGGCCTGCGGGGCCCGGTGGGGGCCTCCGCTGGGCTCAAGTGGCTCAGGGAGCCTGTCCCAGAAACTGTTGGGCTCCGCGAGGTCTGCCCTTTAGTGCTCGGTGCAGCGCGGTGGGGTCGAGTGCGGCCGGCGCAGGAGTCAGCCTCGCCGGGCTCCAGCTCTGTACCCGGCGCGTGCTGGCCTGGGACAGGATAGTGAGGGGCAGATGCTGAGTGTTGGTGTAAAGCTGGAAACCTGATGTGCCCTGGGACTGGTGACAGATTGGCCGTTCTCCTTTAGGTAGTCTGTTGTAGTGGCCTGGAGGGGCCAAGGAGTTGTGCAAAAGGAAACGTGCCCTTTCCCCACTTGACTTTAGCGCTTGTCCTGCAGTAGGGCCGATCTTCTCTAGCTGCCTGCTCCCAGCTTGTGGAATCAGAGCCTTCTGAGAGCCATGTTTGCGCACGGGATAGTTGGGACATGCTGGGTGGGGCTCGACTGGTTGTAGGAAGCTAGTGGTGTGATCCTGGCTGCAGGAGCTCGAGAAGTTGTCGATCTTGAGAAGTGGCAGGGCAAAATGATCCCAGCAGCAGAAATTGCGGAGAGAAGAGGGGTCGATCCTGATGTGGGAGCCTGTGTGCCCGTGTGCTTTAGGTGTCTATCGGACCCGCAGCCTAGATTTCACTATTCTTTTCCTTCCTTCCCATCAGATCTTTTCTGCAGGTGCTGTATTCCTCTTTTTCAGTCTTAGTTTGGAGATTTTTTTACCCACTCTTCCTACCTCCTGAAAACCTTTCAGACTTAGTGGAGATATTTCAGCTTCCCTGATTTCTTGTGTTTCAGGGAGCGTTTTCAGGTTGAGTTAATAGCGCGTGCCACTTAAGGAAGCAGTCTCACGAGGTTGGTTACTTGCTGTTGGAATATGGATACGGATTTAGAGGGCCTTGCAGTATGACAGGGAAGGGAAGGCATAGCATAGCAGAGGGCAAAACTCAGCAGTATGACTGGGTCAAGTCTCCTAACCCATGAGCCTAGCTCCCTTCTCCTGAATGGCATTCCCGTACAACAGGGTTTACTTTGTACTTGCTGTGTGTCGGCACACACTAGGCGCTTAGCGGTGGGGGTGGTTCTGTTGAGGTAGACATGGATGTATTCCTGCCTTATCAAAGTGAAGTCTTCTGACAGGCGTGGTGGCCACCCGTGCGCAGCTCAGTGCTGGGCCTCAGGGACACAGAATGAAGAGAACAAAGTTCCCATCTTCCTTCCTGGAGGGACCAGACGGATGTCATAGTGGGCGGGGATGTTGGAAGGATGAGGAGTACAGTCTGAGCTCTTAGGGCCAGGCCAAGGCTCTGGGGCTCTTAAAGGTTCAGGGGATCCTTGGAGGGCTTAAAGTGGCAGGAAGTGCAGCTTGGAGGGTTGCAGTTTATGCCACCAAATTCCCATGCTTGTTTCCAGTTACGGGGTCCTTGTGATTGCAATCTCAGCCAGTTTCCTAGCTGTGTGATGGGTGGGGGAATGTGTCCTCATGGTGAGTGGATGGCCTTGTGTTAGCCTCAGTTGTGGAGCGAAGCTTGGAAGGGTAAGGTCCTGGGCCAAAGTCTCTCTGCTTGGCAGAGCTGGCTTCCAAGGCCATTTCCCTCTGTCCTTTTTCTGCTTTGACTTCAGCCAGGTGGAGTGCGATCATGCAATTAGCCAGCTGTGGGAGGGCCTTTGAAGGTGGGGATGGGTTCTTCCTTCTTGTGCAGCTGGCACCGAACTGCAAGGAGATCCCTTTAGGATCCTCAGAGTTCCCCCAAAAGGACCCATTCTCTAGTGTGACAAATAGAATCTTAACTCACAGGGTCTTTTTGCAGGCTATGGTGCATGGAGTGCTGGACCTGCCAACACACAGGGTAAGTGGGCTCTGCTTTGCAGGTGAGGCGTGGGCTTCCCCTGCATTCAAGGCCCTAGCATGGCAGAGCTGAGCCTGATGCTCACCAGGGTCAAGGGAGAGTGGTAGCCCAGGGGTCAGCAAACTTTGAGTAAAGAATCAGATCGTGAATATCTTTGTGGCTTTATGAGGTGTACAGTCTCTGTAGCTGAGGGTATATCCAAGTTTTTTTTCCTTTTATAATTAACAGTCTTCGTTTTGTTTTGTTCTCGTTGCGCAGGCTGGAGTGCAATGGAGCGATCTTGGCTCACTGCAGCCTCTGCCTCCTAGGGTCAGGCGATTCTGCTGCCTCAGCCTCCCGAGTATCAGGGATTACAGGCACCTGCCACCATGCATGGCTAATTTTGTATTTTTAGTAGAGAAGTGGTTTCTCTTGAACTCCCGACCTCAGGTGATCCGCCCACCTTGGCCTCCATCCAAAGTGCTTGGATTATAGGTGTGAGCCACCGTGCCCAGCCTTGAGAAGTGGTTTCTCTGTGTTGGTCGGGTTGGTCTCAAACTCCTGACTTCAGGTGATCCGCCAGCCCCGGCCTCCCAAAGTTCTGGGATTAGAGGCATGAGCCACTGTATCTGGCCTATAATTAACAGACTTTTTAGTACAGCTTTAGATTTAGTAGTGGAGTTCCATACGCCCAGCCATCTCCACTCAGGCATAGTGTCTCTCATTAGTAAGATCTTGCATTAGCTGGGTGAGGCAGCTCATGCCTGCAATCCCAGCATTTTGAGAGGCTGAGGCAAGAGCATCACTTGAGCCTGGGAGTTCGAGACCCAAGCTCAAGTAATCCTTTTATTCTGAGAAAAAATTAGTAGGGCATGGCAGCATGTGCCTGTAGTCCCAGCCACTGAGAAGGCTGAGGCAGGAGGATTGCTTGAGCCCAGGAAGTCGAGGCTGCAGTGAGCTGTGATTATGCCACTGCACTCCGGCCTGGGTGACAGAGCAAGACCGTGTCTCAAAAAAAAAAAAAAAAAAAAAATCTTGCATTAATGTGATGCGTTTACAGTTAATCAGCCAGTGTTGATGTGATGTTATTCACTATAGCTCATAGTTTTTTGTTTGTTTGTTTTGAGACAGGGGTTGGCTCTTGTTACCCAGACTGGAGTGCAATGGCACAATCTCGGCTCACCGCAACATCCGCCTCCTGGGTACAAGTGATTTTCCTGCCTCAACCTCCCAAGTAGCTGGGATTGCAGGCATGTGCCACCACGTCCAGCTAATTTTTTATTTTTGGTACAGATGGAGTTTCTCTATGTTGGTCAGGCTGGTCTTGAAATCCCGACCTCAGGTGACCCTCCTGCCTCAGCCTCCCAAAGTGCTGGGATTACAGGCGTGACGCACCACGCCTGGCATAGTTTTTGTTAATTTGTATAGTTCTCTTGAGTTTTGACAAATGTGTAGGTGATGTGTCTTGTGTCAACATTTGTCACTGAATATACTTTAGAAGTTTTACCCCAATCGTTTGAAAACATAAAATTCATTCTTAGCTGAGGGCAGAGCCTGAGGACACAGGGCTGCAGGCAGTGTACTGGTACTTAGTTAGGGGCACTGAAATTGGAAAATCATAAGGGCTGTGGCAAGGCGGGAAGTGGGCTCGATGTGGCCAGGCCTTTTGCAGACCCCCGATCTAGAGTCTGGGTCACGATGCTAGGCTTATTTGGGGGACCAGTATGTGCTCTCTGCTGGCAAGGTTTTCTGCTTTCTGCCAGCCTGTGCGCTAGGGCACGAGGGCTTCCTTTGTTTTCTGAGCCTCAGCTCTGTCTCTGGCAACATTGGGGGAGTGGGACTGCTTTTCCACCCACCACCGGGTGTCGCAGGAGGCAGCCTTCTGGGTCTCTTGTGGCACATAACATCCTCTTGCTAGCTTGAGTCTAGGACGTGACTTTGCACCAGTGCCTTGCTGAGCAGTTGGCAGCGCCTGCCCTCTGGCTTCTGGTGGGAACTGACCCTTTACGAGGACTCTGCCCAGGGCTTGGCCCAGCCGACCTCTTAGCTGGCAGCCGACAGTGGACGAGCTTCCTGGGGAGTGTGCAGTGTCCCTTCTCTTGCCCTGATGGGAAGCTGGCCTTCCCCGGGAGAGAGTCCAGTTCTCTGTAGGAGTTGAGTGAGCTAAGAACTACTGAGGGAAGCCCTGGCCCTGGGTCTGTGGATGGTGGAGTGAAGTGACAGGTGGGGGCAACAGTGCCTTCGTTCTGCAAACGGGGCTCTGTGTGTGTTTGTTTTCCCTAAGGTGCATATGGAACTGGTGTGGCCAGCTGGCAAGGTAAGCTCATGGTGGGGGGTGGTGCCTGCAGGTGGGTGAGTGGGCTTCTGATCTGAAGGCCAGGCGGGTCAACCTATCAGGGAGGTTTGGCGTGGATTTCCTTGTTCTCTTCCTGAAGACACAGTCTGCCAGGGCTGCTGTTGTGAATACAGAGGCTGCAGAGGGCTGTGGCGGGCGGCCTCGGGGGAGCATGCCAGGGAGGGTTGCGACTGTGCTTGGGGAGCGGGATCCTTAATGGGGCCTGTCAGCAGCCGGAACTGCTGTTCCCAGGCTCCTGGTCACCCTGGCTTTGGATGGGGAGCAGGTCCTAGAGTCTGGCAGAGAAAACCTGCCACTCGGCACTGAGGCTACCCCTTTCTCTGGCCACTTCTTGCTGCCTCTTGGCAGGTCACAGTGCAGTGTGGAGTGATGCCAGCAGCACTGGGTCCCACACCCCGTTTTCTTCTCAGTGGCAGCGGGTGCCCCTCCCCAGTCGTGTCCACCATAGGCAGGCCTCATGGCCACTGAGGTCTGACTTGCTTCTTCCTCCCATGACAGGTTATGAAAACTACAATTACTATGGTGCCCAGAATACCAACGTCACCACAGGCGCAACCTACAGCTATGGCCCAGCCTCGTGGGAGGCTGCCAAGGCCAGTGATGGTGGCCTGGCGGCTGGGGGCCCTACCATGCACATGGCCTCTTATGTCCCAGAGCCGTGCACCGACAATTCCGACTCCCTCATTGCCAAGATCAACCAGCGTTTGGACATGATGTCCAAGGAAGGAGGCAGGGGCGGGAGCGGCGGCGGTGGGGAGGGCATGCAGGACCGGGAGAGGTGATTATAGACCCCAGCCCTTCCCCTAGGACCCCACACCCACCCACCTCTGTGCACATGGGAGTGGGTACCCACTCTAGAGGGAGGGCTGTCCTCGCCTCCCTCTTGGGTGTGGCATTGATGAGCTGGGCTTGTGGGGAAGCGGTGGCATTACAATAGGACTTTCTTGCTGGTTTTCTGCATGGTGGGGCTTGGGCATGGTTGTTGGCTAGGCTCCCCCAGACTCTTTTTTTCTTCATGAGGCTGCTCTTGTGGCCAAGGGCACTGTGTCCCCAACTCAGCAGTGTTCCAGGGAGGGTATTGGTTGGTTTTGCCATCCAAATACTTAAGTGGAATGCGGGTGGTTTGGTTTGCTCTTCTGAGTGTAGGGACGTTGATGGTGGGGGAGACATGGAGGTTGTACCAAGGGAATGTGGAGGTGGGTGACTGGGGTGGCCGCCCCTGACAGGCTGTGTTTCCGTTGCAGCTCCTTCCGCTTCCAGCCATTCGAGTCCTATGACTCCAGGCCCTGTCTGCCAGAGCACGACCCCTACCGCCCCAGCTACAGCTACGACTATGACTTCGACCTGGGGTCCAACCGCAATGGCAGCTTTGCGGGGCAGTACGGTGAATGCCGAGACCCGGCCCGGGAGCGGGGCTCCCTTGATGGCTTCATGCGGGGCCGGGGCCAGGGCCACTTCCAGGACCGGAGCAACCCTGGCACCTTCATGCGCAGTGACCCCTTCATGCCTCCGACGGCAACCTCTGAGTCCCTGTCCACACCATGGAACGAGCTGAACTATGTGGGCGGACGGGGCCTGGGAGGGCCCTCCCCCAGCCGGCCACCTCCGTCTCTCTTCTCCCAGTCCATGGCTCCTGACTACAGCGTGATGGGCATGCAGGGGGCGGGTGGCTTTGACAGCACCATACCTTACGGATGTGGCCGCTCGCAGCCCCGGATGCGGGATCGGGTAAGCCCTCACAAGGTTGCTTCAGGCCGCCTTCGCTTCTCTTTTTAGCAGCTTTGTCGAGGTAAAATTTCCCTATCACGACATTCACATAATATTAAGTGCGCAGCCTAGCTTTTAGTTAATTTACAGGGTTGTGCAATCATCCACACTACTACAGTCTAATCTCAGTATTTCTGTCAGCCCGAAGAGAAACCTCTGCTTCTTAGTCACCCTGTCTCCTCCTCCCAACAACCACCAGTCTGCATTTGGTCTCTGTGGTTTTGCGTGATCTGGACATTTTGTGCGAATGGAGTGATGAAATAAGTGGCCTTGTGTTCCTGGCTTCTTTCACTCAGCACGATTTTCTCTTTAGTTTCAAGTATGTTGTGTCTTTGGTTTTTAAAAAGACCTTGTGTGCCTGTGTTGCCTGATCTTACAACCTCTTTGTTCTTTTCTGTGGGGCATCTTGATGGTGCAGGTAAGTAGTTCATGGGGTGTGCTTGTTTGTAGCCTAGGAGGAGAGGGTCTGACCGCTTCGGACCAGATGGCACGGGCAGGAAACGGAAGCAGTTCCAACTGTATGAGGAGCCAGACACCAAACTGGCCCGGGTTGACAGTGAAGGAGATTTCTCCGAAAATGGTACGTCCTGGGGGGCCAGGCGGGCCAGGCAGGCCAGGCAGATGCCAAAAGGGTCAGCTGCCTGCTGGGGGCTCTGCCTGCCCTGTCCATGTCATGGACACTCGCCGGTGGCATGTTTCACCCCCACTCCCTCAACCCCCACTGTGGTCAGGACAGATTCACCCTGGACAGCGAGCTTGGGAGGGCGAAAACTGGATCGGACCATTCCGGGGACTGACTTTTCCTCTGTTTGTGTCTGGCAGATGACGGAGCTGGTGACTTCCGCTCAGGAGATGAAGAATTCAAAGGCGTAAGTCCAATAGGCAGCACTTTTGCCTCTAGTGAGGGATTTTTTTCTTTCTTTAATCACCCTTCCTCACAGAGGGGCAGGAGCAGCTGCCGTGGTAGATTTGACTACCTCTGAGTGGATTTAGGACCCTCACTTTTAGCTAGATTTCTAAAAGTTTTCCCCCTTAACCTGGTGTGGTGGCTTGTGCCTATAATCCTAGCACTTTGGGAGGCCGAGGTGGGTGGATCACATGCGGTCAAGAGTTCAAGACCAGCCTAGCCAACATGGTGAAATACAAATACAAAAATTAGCCGGGTATGGAGGGTACATGCCTGTAGACCCAGCTACTTGGGAGGCTGAGGGAGAAGGATCACTTGAACCTGGGAGGTAGAGGCTGCAGTGAGCCAAGATTGCACCACTGCACTCCAGCCTGGGCAACAGAGGGAGACTCTGTCTCAAAAAAAAAAAAAGAAGAAAAAGTTCCACGTACAACGAACATTCCCTTTCTGAAAAAAGCTCCTGTTCCTCTCCCTGGTCTCCAGGCCAGTAACTGCAGGGACTGTGGGCTGAAGCCTCCAAGCACAGACTGGAGGCTCATTTGCCACCAGCTCTGTGCTGGGTGCTGTTGACCAGTGTCCATGTCCTTCCGTCCTCACAATGAGGCACAGGTGGGCAGCATCAGGGGCCAGTTCATAGCCGGGACCACCCCAAGCTCCTGGGGAGGTGCCTCCACCACCCCAGTGTAGATTCTGGTCCAGGTCGGGGGCGTAGGGTCTGGAGGTCCAGCGTGGAAGGAGGGCTTTTCCCAGGTTCTAAAGGTCATGCGGGCAGGGAGCAGGCAGGAGACGGCGCTTTTCAGGTTTTCAGAGTCTCACTTGGTCTCTTTTGCTGATTTAGCTCTTGAGACTAGGAATCTCTGCAAACCTGTCGATTGTTAATTTAACCATATGTTCACTGCCTAAAGAATCAGCTCTGTTCAGATACTCAGATTCAGTATCTGAATCATTTTTATTTCTATGTGATTTGTTGCTAAGATATTGGGTAAATACAAACAAAAGCTTGGGAAACATGGTGGAGCCCATTTTGTATCAAGAATGCCGGAACTGGCATCCCCCAAGTCAGACTCCCTCACCCGACAGTCGGTGAGCAGGCTTTGTTTATAGAATTGTGCGGGTGGGCCTTTGCCACGGGGCAGGCAGTTCTGCAGCTTAGGAGGAACTGAGAGAGGACGGGTGAGTGGCTTTTTAGAAAGGCCGTCACAGAATCTCTGAAGGCAACCGGGAGTGGTAACAGGACACACAGGTCCTGTCCCGAGCCTTGGAGGCCGGTCCTGACACACTGGCTCATTTTTGGTGGCATAGCCACCTAGGTCTGGGGTGAGACCACCCACCAGGCCGTGGCCAGGGGCTAGGCTGGTTGTGGAGAGTTCGGGACACACCAGCTCACTGCCGGACTTTGTGTATACTCTTTTCCAGGAGGATGAATTCTGCGAGTCTGGGCGGCAGAGAGGTAGGCGTCACCATGTCCTTTGCAGCTTTCCTGTGTCTGCCTGGCTGCCCTGCACTTACTACCCAGCTAGGCTGGGCTTCTGAGCAAGCTGGAGGCCTGGATGAAGGGGCCCGTGGCTGTGGGGGAAGAGGGGCTGCAGCCACCAAATGGGTCTTGACCGTGGCGATCACCAGACACTTTGCTTCACAGTGTCTGGGGCAGTACTCGAAATGGGTCTGTCTGCCTGACCCCATGTGGGCTGCAGCAGGGTATGGGGACAGCCTTGGGTGACCACCACAGTTCAAGTTTGTAGGGAAGGAGAGACATAAGAGAAGAGATTTCCCCCCAGCCCATCTTCTGTGCCTTCCTCAGCCAGTGCATGTCCCTGAACTGTTTTCTCCTGGACTTAATTCTGTCCAGTCCCTCCATTGCCCGCCCCAGGCTGTGCTGCGACCTCTGTGGTGGGGATGCAGCTGCAGCACGCATTGCCACGTGCCTGTGAGTATGTGAAAGCAGACACCTGCAGGGTCAGGAGCACCCGGGCCCACTGAGTCCTCCAGTGAGTCACCGCCCAGCAGGTCTCTTCATGTCCAACACAGGAGACCAGAGGGTCTGCAGCAACAGTGGGCCAGGCTTGAAGCCTGTGTGGCAGGGCGGCCTGAGGCGTTGTGGCATGGAGCTCGCCCTGAAGCCACTTGTTTCTTTCCCCATTCTGTGGCTCTGCCTGTAGCTGGTTACCCCAAGGATCACAGGCTGGCTCCTCGGTGGCCCAGCTCCTCCTGATCATTTGAGGCACGTGGCTTAGATGCCCCTCCTGTTACATACTGAAGCTTAGCATGCCCTCTGCAGTCCTCCCCCAACGACCCGAAGCGGTCCTGTCCATAGCACAGGGCGCCCTGAGCGCTTAATGGCACAATGCTAAAGCAAAGGTGACATGTCTGTTGCGCACAGGTCCTGCTACCTACCCGGGATGACTTTGCTATTAAACAGCAGTCATAGTTTCAGGCAGTGACCTCTTGCCAAAAATCCCACACGCCCTTTTGAGAGGCTTCTGAGCAGCGCACGCCGGTCGCCATCTTCGTGGGACAGTCTCGGGACTGGCATCAGGGGTAGGGGTTACAGTTCAGATGCTTCTCCAACCTTTTTTCAGCGTCTGGCCCTGGCCTTGAGCCTCGGGGACGCGGCCTGGCCTCACGCTGGGACGATGGCCGCGTGGCTCTCTGAGGAGCTCCTGTGCTGGCCCTGGGGGACGGACGGGAGGACCAATCGGTCTCTTCCCATTTTTGTTTCTAGGATTGCTTCCCACGCAGCCCTGGGAAAGCCCTAGATTGATGGTTTTTGTGAGTGGTAGAGGTCGGGCCAGCAAGGACTGTCAGACCTGCTGAGGCCCTAGTTCAGACAGGGCCGCCAGGACACTCATCAAGGTCCACCTAGAGGTGGGACAGGGCGGCAGAGCAGCTGCTTCACCTCCTGAAGCCTTGAGCTGCTGCCTCTTCATCTGGGGAGAATTGGCTTCTCCTGTGTTATTGGGAGAAGACCCCATTGCAGGGCACTAGATTGGACAAGCAGGATGGGGAGGTCAGAGAGAGCAGGGGGCCGTGGTGCACGTGGGATAGACAGGCCATGTCCCTGGCCCGTCCCGGCCTCCTCGGGCCATGCAGGGAGTGAGGTGACTCCTCCGGGTTCTCACCCCAGACTCATGTCCACTGGGAAGTCTCTGTTGGTGCCTTGGGGCATCCTGGACCCTGCCACATGGTACAGGCAGTGGCAAGACACGGGGTGCGGTGGCCAAGCCGCAGCCCCCGACCAGGCCCTGGAGCTCAGCTCCTTTGCGGGCCCCTGAGAGTGTCTCGAAGGGACTTCTCTGTTACAGGAGAGAAGGAAGATGAGGACGAGGAAATAAAGAAGAGAAGGGAAAAGCAAAGGAGGAGAGACAGGATGCGGGACCGCGCAGCCGACAGGTGAGGCGTGGGCACTACCCCCACTGGAGGAGGTGGACCTGGCACGGGGTAGGCACTGCCGAGCTCCCCTGTCCTAGCTCCACAGCACCGGGGCCATGCCAGTGGGAGGCAAAACAGGAAACATTTGAGGGTGCAGAAGACACTGCCACTCTGTGCTCGCAGCACACATGCTGCATGTCTTCTAGAATGGCTGGGATGTTGCTTTGGTGAAGTTGGGTTTTTGTTCTTGCTTAGGGAATTGGTGTTTGACTTGGGTGTGTCTATTTCTCTGGAATCTCAGCCTTGCTGGTGAGTCTGCGTGGCCCATAACTGCCCAGCAGGGGGCTCTCTTACTCTCCTGCAGGCGTGAGGGGTGTCCCTGTTCTATGACCTGGTGCCTGGTCTCAGACAAGTTTCCTGTATTCACCTTGTTCAAATCCAGACCACTCCTGGAGTTTGACAGAGCTGGGAGATAGGTAGAGAGATGGTCCTACCATCAAGATTTTCTCCCAGAATAGAAAAGAAATGCAAACATGTCAAGCCCAAAGGATGTCAGTGTGACCACATCACGTGCCTGCCACTCCCTGTCAGCGGTTAACTGGCTTCTGACTAGAAACTGAAATCCCCAGTGATCATGTGATGCTGGGGAATCCTTGACCTTAAAGTTTGCATGGGACAGCGATTTTCTTGTGCAAAGAAATGCTTAGTAAAAGGGGCCAGGCGCGGTGGCTTCCACCTGTAATTCCAGCACTTTGGGAGGCTGAGCAGGCGGATTGCTCGAGGCCAGCAGTTCAAGACCAGCCTGGTCAACATAGTGAAACCCTGTGTCTACTAAAAATACAAAAATTAGTCAAGAATGGTAGTGGTTGCCTGTACTCCCAGCTACTCGGGAGGCTGAGGCAGGAGAATCAGTTGAACCAGGGAGGTAGAGGTTGTAGTGAGCCAAGGTCACACCACTGCACTCCAGCTTGGTGACCCAGCTGCTCAAAAAGTAATTTTTTTTTTATTTGAGATGGAGTCTCGCCCTGTTACCCAAGCTGGAGGACAATGGTGCAGTCTCGGCTCACTTCAACCTCCACCCCCAGGTTCAAGCAATTCTGCCTCAGCCTCCTGAATAGCTGAGATGACAGGCACGTGCTACCACACCCAGCTAATTTTTTATTTTATTTTTTTGTATCTTTAGTAGAGATGGGGTTTCACCATGTTAGCCAGGCTGGTCTTGATCTCCTGACCTTGTGATCCGCCCACCTTGGCCTCCCAAAGTGCTGGGGTTACAGGCACAAGCCACGGCACCTGGCCTCATTTTGAATCGCTTGAACCTGGGAGGTGGAGGTTGCAGTGAGCTGAGATTGCACCTGTGCACTCCTGCCTGGGCGACAGAGCAGGATATCATCTCAAAAAAAGAACCGTTTCTTCTTTAGTACAGGAACATTGTAACCATTGTTATTTTAAACAGATAAATAATGGTAGAGTAGATGACTTCCATGTCACATGGAAATTGAGATGACTTCATTAGAGACAGGGGTCTTGCTCTGTTGTCTGGGCTGGTCTTGAACTGGCCACAAGAGATCTTCCTGCTTTGGCCTCCCAGAGTACTGGGAGAAAGGCATAGAGATGACATTCTTTTACTTTTTGCATTTTATCATCTTGTATGTTCTTCCAATTAAGAGGTGCCTTGTTTTTGAAAAGAAACCTTCAGAGCTGGCACTAGTGACTAAGGACTTAAGGATCTTGAAGGGACTTAGAGGGATTGTCACAGGGAGGCAGAGGTGTAGCAGGCAAGCGTGCATCTCGTCTGCAGCTTCCTGGCAGCTCTGTGTATGAGCGCCGGGATATGTCCCCTTTTCTCCTCCGTAGGGGGTGTCTCCCGAAGTGGAAGTGTCTTCATGGTGCTTGTCAGGGGTCAGAAGCCAGGTGTGTGGAGTTGGCAGAGGTGAAATCCTGAGTGCCACAGGGCCTGTACCCCTGCACCAGAAGGGCTGGAACTTCCAGGACAGAGCCAGGGAGGTAGCACCCCAGTGTGGTGGCCTGGGGCCTGTACTTCCCTCTGTCTCACCAAGCAGCGTGGCATGCATCACCACACCTTGCTAATTTTGTATTTTTAGTAGACGGGGTTTCTCCACGTCAGTCGTGCTGGTGGTCTCAAACTCCCAACATCAGGTGATCTGTCTGCCTTGGCCTCCCAGTATGCTGGGATTACAGGCGTGAGCCACCACGCCCGGCCAGAAGCCTCACTTTTATCTGTAGAACTGGATGTGACATGTCTTTACGGGGAGTCCCATGGGAGAACTGATCTTGGGCTTTGTGTTTTGAATTGTATGAGGTCTTTTTTCTGCACGTAAAATGTGGTTGTCTTGTGTCATCCCAGTGGCTGTGGAGCAAAGCTTATTTGAGAAGCTGGGAGGTAGATGCTGTGCCCCAAGGAGTCGCCAGCCAGAGCTTAGGGGGGGTCTCTGGTTCTGAGCAGTCATTGCTTTCCGGTGTTTTCCCAGGGGCTTTGGGGCCAGAGGGGCTACAGTGTCAGCTGGTTACGAATCTTTGCTTGAGATACTTGTAAGTCTATACTCCTATTATTCAGCTAGGGAAGTCTGGGTAACTGCTATTCTGTTGCCCCTTGGGAAGTCAGAACTCTTGTTTCAGCAACCACTTTCCCTAGCTGAGTGCAGTGGCATGCACCTTTAATGCCAGCTACTTGGGAGGCTGAGGTGCGAGGATTGCTTGAAAAACCTGGGAGGCAGAGATTACAGTGAGATGAGATTTTGCCACTGCACTCCAGCCTGTGCAACAGAGTGAGACTCCGTCTCAAAAAGAAAAGAAAAATCCTGTTTCTATTTTAGCTCTCCCCAGAGGTGACCTGATTCTCCCTGCCTCACTTCCCTCTTCATTTACCTTCTCCAGGATTCAGTTTGCCTGTTCTGTGTGCAAGTTCCGTAGCTTTGAAGACGAAGAGATCCAGAAGCATCTGCAAAGCAAATTTCACAAAGAGACGCTGCGGTTTATAAGCACCAAGCTGCCCGACAAGACGGTGGAGTTCCTCCAGGTAAAGGACACCTGACCCCCGGTCACCACGTCCCCCGCCAATTCCGCAGGTGCCGGATCCTTTGAAGGAGGAAGGGAAATCAGAGGTGTAAACTTGGTCAAGGTTTCTTTTCCCAGATAGAACAGCTGTGTAAGTCCCCAAGTCACAGGAACAACCAAGAGCTCCAGCCATCATGGTTCCCACTCTTCTGCCCACGGAGCTCCTCTGATAGCTGCCTGCCTAGCCCTGGCAGCTGAGAAATGGCCACACGTGCCAGCCTCTCATTTTACTTAATGCCATCTCCAAATCCACCTTAGGAATACATCATTAACAGAAATAAGAAAATTGAGAAGCGACGTCAGGAATTGATGGAGAAAGAGAGCCCAAAACCAAAACCAGATCCTTTCAAAGGTGAGTTGTGGTTGCAGGATGCTTGCCGTCCTGGATGGTGGCAAGGCATGTGACCCGTGAAACGTGGCGCAAGGCCAGCCCGAGGTGGCTGAGAAGGTGGCAGTGAGCCCTGTGGGAAGAGTGCTTAGCAGCAATAGAAAGAAGCCTTCGGTGTGGCTCTGCGTACGTCATAGCTGACATCAGAGTGACGTTAAGCACTTTGATGTCTTTTCCTCCTTGGTTTGAAAAGAAAGGACCAGAAGGAACAGAAAAGCTGAAATGTGCAGACTTCCCAGCTATAGAGGCCGAATGTGCTGACCCATACTCCCTAAAGAAGGGCAGGCTACGCCCTTCTGACTCCTGAGTGTTGCCGGCAGAAAACCTGGACCCTGTTGGGGAGTGGGAGGAGGAAAGCATCACTTGCTGTCCCAGATCCTCCAAGACATGCATTTCCTCGCAGGGATTGGCCAGGAGCACTTCTTCAAGAGGATCGAGGCTGCTCACTGCCTGGCCTGTGACATGCTGATCCCTGCGCAGCCGCAGCTCCTCCAGCGGCACCTGCACTCCATGGACCACAATCACAACCGCAGGGTGAGTCTTCTGCCCCACACTGCCTGGGGTGCGTGTTGCAGGCTGTGGCTCAGAGCCAGCTGTGTCTTATGGGGAATTACCCACATTTTCAGGGGTTCTCGCTGTGTTTGAAGTCTGTCACTTCCATTGATTGGTTGTAAGATTCGCCTATATTTTTATAGAAATGTGAGAAAATGTTTTTGCTTAGAATGAATTAAATGCGGTAGCTGAGATTCTCTTTATTTGAGAGTGTTTCCTGTAAGCCACATCAGTCAGTTCCCCAGTAACTAAAGGCCTGGGGGTTTCCATCAGCTGAAGCTGAGGGCCATTGAGAGCCGAGTGGCCCAGGGGACTTGGACTAAAGGACTGGTTCTGTCCTTCCCCAGCTGATGGGGCTTCTGGCTAAATGTTGGGCTCAGGGGTCAGCACATTCTTTTTTGTAAGGCGTCAGATATGAATATTTTTAGCATTGCAGACCATAGAGTCTGTTCAGCAACACAGCTCTACCTACTGTCAGTGCAGAAAAGCAGACAATAAAAGTGGCTGTGGCTGTGTTTGGTCCGCAGGCTGGAACTTTCTGGCGTGGGGTTAGCATATCTCTTCTTACTGTATCCAGCTATTCAATGGGGATGTCAAGAGCTGCCCACCCATCTCACAGTACTGTTTTTGGTTTTGGAATTTTTTTTTTTTTTTTTTTTTGAGATGGAGTTTCACTCTTGTTGCCCAGGCTGGAGTGCAATGGCACAATCTCGGTTCACTGCAACCTCTGCTTCCCAGGTTGAAGCGATTATCCTGCTTCAGCCTCCTAATGTATTTTTAGTAGAAATGGGGTTTCACCATGTTGGGCAGGCTGGTCTTGAACTCTTAACCTCAGGTGATCCACCAGGCTCGGCCACAGTACTATTAAAGATCAGCTGAGCCGGGCACGGTGGCTCACGCCTGTAATCCTAACACTTTGGGAGGCTGAGGTGGGTGGATCACCTGAGGTCAGGAGTTCAACACCAGCCTGGCCATCATGGTGAAACCCCATCTTTAAAAAAATAAATAAATAAAAATTTTTTAAAAAGATCAGCTGAAAAGCGGTATACAAACAAGGGACCATTGTGCAAATGAGTCAGGCCCTAAAACAGTCAGAGGCTTGGTGCAGTCATAGTTGTTTTTGTTTTGTTGTTGTTGTTTTTTATTTTTTGAGACAGAGTCTCTGTTGTCCAGACTGGAATTCGGTGGTGCAATCTCAGCTCATTGCAACCTCCACCTCCCAGATTCTTGTGCCTCGGCCTCCTGAGTAGCTGGGATTACAGGTGTGCACCACCACACCCAGCTAATTTTTTGTAGAGATGGGGTTTCGCCATGATGGTCTTGAACGCGTGGCCTCGGGTGATCTATACGCCTCAGCCTCCCAAATTGCTGGGATTACAGGCGTGAGCTGCCACACCCAGCCTAGTCATGCTTTTGTTGTTGAACTCATTACATCAATGTAAAAAAAAAAAAAAAAAAAAAAATTAAAAAGAAAGAGCTTGCTCTTTTCCTCCACTGAGTCTGCACAGCTTCTCATTTGTACATGCTCTTGTTTCACCCCCTATTCTGCACATGCTACATGGATCTCAGTGGCACATCTGTGTGTTTATCTCTTAAGATTGTTCAGCTTTGCCGGGCGCGGTGGCTCAAGCCTGTAATCCCAGCACTTTGGGAGGCCAAGGCGGGTGGATCACGAGGTCAAGAGATCGAGACCATCCTGGTCAACA